TTACTTTATTGATGCTTCTTTCCATGCACCTTTTAGCCGAGTTCAAGGATCTAAGGGAGAAGAGTCTGAGGGAGAAGAAGGAGCACCTGCTCCCGCACCCACACCTACTCCTATACCTTATCAGAATTCCTATCAATAAATATTCCAGTGTTTTGATAAACTGGAATCTCATTTTAAACAATGTTTTAATCAAATTGAGAATCACCTAAACCAGCAGGATGCGAGACATAATGAATACATGGGGTGGATTAGAGGAAAATTTTACTTTGTCAACATGCCATTAGCTACAATAAATAGCTACTTTATGATGTTTACCCCTCATCCACTTCAAGACCATGGTCCCTTAGGTTTTTAGTTGTTACTTCTTTATTGTACTTATTATTGAGATTTTGTACTTATTGTTGATATGTTTCTTTTGATTTCATGTGTTGGCTTCTTAATGTTGTGGTCTTCCTTTTTTGATATGATGTGTTGGTTGTATGTGTTACAAGTGTTAAATAAAATGATGTTTTTGTATTGTGTTGAAATTTTACTTCTTGATTTGTTTAAGTTTTTAGAGACTAATCAAATGTACTTGATCTCTAGAATAAAATTTTGAAATAATTTGCTCTATAAATAAATTTCCTTGCAAAATTTAATTTCTCAAAATTTTAAATTAAATTATGGTGGGATGTAGATTAGAAGATCAATTTCATGTTCTTATAGATAAATATTATTTAGCTATAATTATTACAAAATAGATGTCTTATTTTTTATTTTATTTCTTTTTCATTGTATTTATTTTTGTTAATTATAGGAATTGTTTTTAAGATTTATTAATATTAAAAAGATAAAAAAATGTTAAAAGATACATAAAGTGTGCCAAAAATTAAAAAGATGCACAAAATGTGCCACTAGTTTAAAGAGATATGCAATATTCGCCAAAGTAAAAAGAGAAACAAAATTATCCCAAACAGAAATGATGCACAAAGAGTACCAAAAATTAAAAAGATGTGCAATATTGCCAATTGAAAGGTTCATACAATTTTTTCTTTTATCTTTCTATCTCTTATACAAATACATTTAATCAGTAATAATATTCGCTATTCAATTTGAAACTAATTAATCTTTATTTCATCATTGTTCTAATAATTATTTTTATTTTGATATGTCTACAATGAGCAGTGAACCTGGTTAACTTTTCTTATCTTAATTATTCTTTGATTTAAATCGTGACTTTGGACACTAATTTTGTCTTTTGCAAATAGTTTTTAATCTTCTTCTTCATCATCTATTTAGATTTATCAATAGAAAATTATCTTTTCAAGAGGTACTTCCCTTTTTATTGTTGTCAAATGGGGGAGTCATTAGTTATTGATTGATGTTGTTTGATGTATGTGTGTATGATTATTTTTGTGTGATTTATGTGATGTGTGTATTGGGTGTGTATTAGGTGCATTGTGATATATGTATCATGTGTGTTTAGTTATGTATGTTTGTTTTTTTCTCTTTTTAATTTGTTGTGATTTTGATTTTCATTAGAATCCCATATTTTCTAAATTGATCACTCATTGAGAGAGAACTTAGGAGAAAAATTTTCTTAAGTGTTAACTCAAATAATAATTATTTTACTATCATAAAAAGGGAGGAGATTATTGCAACTTAGATTTCAAAATTATATTTTTATATCATATGAGTTTTTTATGATACCAAAATATTATTATTATGATTACTACTTCTCCTAACATACATTGGATATATTTTCTTTATGTTGTGTGTGTACTAATATTTTGAGAAAATCATACTCCATACTACCATAGAATTCAAGACAAATTGATTAAGGTTTTGTATAATTAAGTCTATATTTTTTCTATTTTTCTTGAGTTTGAGGGAGTGTGATTGTTGAGAAGATGCAAGAACTAGAGAGAGAAAGTTTCGAATTCTGGTTTCGCGGGTTTTTCAGCCGGTGATCTGACTGCAAGATTCGCATGGAGGCGGATGACCGTAGTTCTTCGGCGGATATCTTGGGTCAGAAGATAGATTCTTCGGCTTCGTTGCTGGAGTTGGAGGATGGGAAAGTGGTTGCAGAGCAATCGACTTCAAGAAGTGTTATGGATGCTGAAGAGGCTCGGAGAAGACGAGCGAGAGGTATGTTGGTGATAAATGAGAACGTAGGCAATGTTTCTCATATTTTTCAACATTGTGTTGGAAAAGGTAAATCGATTGAATCAATTTCTGTAATGAAAACTATGGATACCTCGTGCAATAATGAGACAAATGAGGTCTGCCATGATCGGGAAGCTTCTTCCTCTGGCATGAACATTTTCGTGCAAGGATTTGGTAAAACGAATGTTAAACAGGATAGCAGCGATATTGTTGAGAATCGTCGGCTTTCTGATAAATTTGTTTTTATTCTGAAATCTTTCAAACAAGTAATCCAAATGGAAGTGGAATTAGAACAATTTAAAGAGACTAATGCGAATCAGATTGCTGATTATTTGTCTGAAAAGAATATGGAAAAGCTAAAAATTGGTAATGTATGGAGTAGGAAACCATACATCAATTTGAACTTTCGAGAAGAAGAAGTTATTTTCACTGAAGATGGTGAGGCGATTCAACTAATTAAAGAAGATGAAATAAAGAATGTGAACCTGCTGGGGAAATAACTGGTTTGCAAGATATTTGGGAAAGATATTAAGCCGCAGGATGTTTCTTGGGAACTCAGAAGACAGTGGGCTCAATTTGACAAATTCCATTTCACAATGTTAGGGAAGGGGTGGTTCATGTGCTCTTTTAAAACAAGCGAAGCCATGGAAGGAGTCCTGACGGGAGGACCATGGTTCGTAAAATAGCATATCATTGGAATGGAAAGATGTTCGTCGGAATTCTCACTGTTATCTATGGAAGGTCTTACATCGCCCATTTAGATGCAAATGCCGCAGTTACCGTTGCAATGCTGGGATGAAAACAATATAGAAAGGATAGCAACTGCAGTTGGGAAACCATTAATGTTGGATGGCAACATGTTCAGTTGGGGAAGAAGGGAATTTGCCAGGGTCTGCGTCCGAATTAAGCTTGACCAGAAACTACCAGCTGGAGTGTGGGTAGAAAGCATGGGAGAAAGATTTTATCAGAAATTCGAGTTTAAAAGAATTTCAAATTTTTGTTTTGATTGTGGAAAAATCGGTCATGTGAGGGAGGAATGTATGAAAGCAGATTCTGTTGAAGACAGGAATTCTTCTAAGAAGAATTTGCAAAAATCAAAGCAATTCAAAATAGAGGAAGAAAAGAAGAGCTATGGCCCTTAGGTGCTGGTGAACAATAGGAGAAGGAAGCAAAATGCAGTTTATAGTTAGGATATGGCCAGGAAAAATGTTGAGAGGAAGACTTAAAACAACAATGTTTGGAATATTAAGTCGAAGAATGCAAATTTGGAAAGAACAGAGAACTCAAGCATTTACCAGAGTGAAATTCTTCCAGCACCTCAACATCAGGTAAATCTATTAATTGAAGAAGGTGAAATCATTGAGGGATTTGTGGATGTCCCTGAGACAGAAAAATATGATTTTAAAAATCATGAGTATGAATGTATGGAAGACAGCAAGAAAGAAGTTTTACAAGGGAATAATGAAATCAGGGCTGAGCTTGAGGTGAATATTTCAAATAACCCATTTGAAATTTTGAAAGAAATTGATGAAGAACAGAATGTGTTGATAATGAAAGAAAAGGCAGAGATACAAACTGGAAACAATAGGGTCGTTTTGGAAACAAAACACCCAAATGTCAAAGAGCAGGTGGAAAAAAGTTTGGTAACTGTAAAGATGTCTAGTGCCAAATACAAACTTACTAAAGAAATGAAAATGCTTTGACCCATTAAAGGGAAACATAGAACAAGGAAAGGTGAGGGAGGAGAGGTCAAGGCAGAGGCCTTACACTCTAAACCCATTTAAATGTCTTCAATATTAGTATGGAATTGTAGGGGAGGTAAAAAGAAGGCTGCCTCCCACTACTTAAGAAACTTGATTACTGAAAATGGTCTTTTCTTCATTGGCTTGTTAGAAACAAAAATGGAAAGTTTGGGTTGTAATGATGTTAGAAGGATGGTGGTGAATGATTGGGATTTCCACCATGTTGCGGCTTCAGGAAAGTCAGGAGGCATCCTTGTTCTATGGAAACATAGAATAGCATCTTTCAAGATGACTGTAACTTCCAAACAGTGTATTATTGGTGAACTTATTACTCCTAAAGGCAAGAAAGTCAAAGTTTGCATTGTTTATGGTAACAAAAATTTGTATGAGAGAAGGAAACTTTGGGAAATGATTGAAGAGAATATGAATTGTGAAGATCCTTATTTAGTTGGAGGAGATTTTAATTGCCTTGTTAACAGCAATGAGAAAATTGGGGGAAAAAGTTTTGTATTCTCTCAAGGACCAGAAGAAAAGAAGGAATTCATGACTAACAATGATTACCATGACATTGGATTCAATGGACCCAACTACACTTGGTGTAACAACAAAGATGGCCTTGCTAGAATATGGGAAAGGTTAGATAGAATTTGGTTAAATTCTAAAGCTATTATTGAATTTTCCTAATGCAGTTATCAAGCATCTCCCAAGAATATCATCGGATCATTGTCCTGTTCTCCTACAGCTCGATGATAAAGTAAGGAATTACAATAAAGAATTCAGGTTTGAAAATATTTGGTGCTCGTATGAGGCAGCTAAAGGTATCATAACCAAATCTTGGGGGAAAATGACTTTGGTAATGCTAATGAAATTCTTCAGAGGAAAATAAAAAGGTCTCTTAAGAACCTTTTTTATTGGAGTAAAAATAAGTTGAAGGAGCTGAACTTGAGAAACTAGGTGCTAAAGCAGGAGATTTTGGAATTCCAAAATAGAGAAGTTTCTGTTGGAGGCTTGATTCAGGGAGATCTGATTCTATTGAGAAGCAAAGTTGTGGAATTTAATTCAAACTTGGCTAGAATCTCAACTTGGTGGAGAAAAAGATCTAAAAGCCAATGGATGGATGAAGGCGAGAAAAATACAAGATATTATCACACTTATGCTACAGCCAAGAAGAAGAGCAATCATATTCTGCAAATTACTTGGGAGGATGGATCGTTGGTTTCAGATCATGAAGATATCCATAAGATTATGGAGAATTTTTTCAGAAATAAGTGGTGCAAGCGCAGCTGTGATTTGAAAAATTGGCCAAATTTCAAAAGTTATGATGGCATTCAGGTTAAAATGAGGAAAATTCTGGAAGCTGAATTCACTATAGAAGAATTGAAGATAACACTCAATAATATGGGCAATAACAAATCTCTTGGAGCTGACGGTGCAAATGCCTATTTTTTCAAAAATTATTGGAGCATTGTGGAGAGAGCAACATGGAATGCTGTTAATAATTTTTTCAAAATAGGGGAAATACCAGAGCAATGGAAGGAAACGGTGGTTGTGCTGATTCCGAAAATACAGAATGCTATGGAGTGTTCCAAATTCAGGCCAATTTTCCAATGCCAAACGATTTACAAGATGGTTGCTGGTATGATTCTCAATAGATTTAAAAATTGCCTTCCGGGAGTCATTTCTGAATTCCAGGGTGCGTTTGTACCAAGCAGGAATATTTCGGACAATTAACTCATTGCAAATGAAATTATTTGCAAGATGAAATCATCTTTTGCTAAGCCGGGATATTTCCTTCTTAAACTTGACATGGAGCAAGCGTACGACTGTATGTGCTAGTAAACTCTTGAACATATTTTGAATCTAACAGGTTTTCTTGATAGATTAATTTATCTAATTCTGCAATGTGTTTCAAACCTGAAATTCTCTGTTGTAATTAATGGCAGAAGAATTGAGTGGATTAATGCTCAATGTGGATTTAGGCAGGGGTGTTCGTTGTTGCCAAGCTTGTTCATTTTATGCTCAGATCTTCTAGCTAAAGCTCTTAATGAACATTATGTGCAATTGGGGATGAGACTAGCGTCAAATAAAGAGAAGCTCACACATTTGTTATTTGTAGACGATGTCCTAGTAACTACTGAAGCTTATAGCAAAAATCTGAGAACGCTGAAGAAACTTTTCAAGTGTTACTGCAGCTGGACGGGCCAGGCGATCAACTCTGAGAAATCCATTGTTCTTTATGGCAAGGTAGTCTCCAAAAAGAGAAGAATCAATCTGAATAAAATTATGGGGTATAAAGAAGGAAAAGAATTATTCTATTTGGGTATTAAATTGGTTTTAAGAAGAATGAAAGCTGAAGACTACAACAGCATCATTGAGAAAGCAATGTGTAGACTTAATTCTTGGGGAGCTAGATGGCTTTCTCTGGCTTGAAGAATTCTCCTCATCAGAACTGCCTATTCGAGCATGATTAATTATCAGGTAGCACCCTCCCTCACTCCTAAAAGCATTTTAAAGAAAGTTGACAAAATATGTAGGAAATTCTTCTGGCACAAAGATAATGGCAAACAAGGTTTGCATTATATTGCTTGGGAAACTCTATGCTTACCCACCAGCTTAGGGGGATTTGGCATGCATGGAGCTACGGAGAGATAGGGTCCTTTAAGATCAAGAATGGCATGGATGTTTTTACAGAACAATAATTCTCTACTCCATAAAATTCTTTTCAAAAAATTTGGAGCCAATATTTGGGAGGAAGGCATGAAGAGAGGAGTGTCTATAGTTTGGAAAATCATTAAAGAGGGTATTGATTATCTGAAACCAGTTGTTAGATGGCAGGTTAATAATGGTCATAATATCAATATCAATACTGACAATTGGATATTAGATAGAAGCCTCAACAGATGGCCGGCTACGTGTAATATGTTGGACATTGATGACAAGAAGGTTTCCTTTCTTATGGATGAAGATGGTAACTAGAATTCAGGAAAACTATCTAAATTCTTTTCAGGAGATATGGTAAAGCGTCTATACAGCAAATGGAGAAGGGGACAAATAATATAGAGGACAGAATTGAGCTTGTTCATACCAACACAGGGAAAACTGTATCAGCATTATGTGCTGAAGCTAACAGCTTTCAAAATGATAGTAAGTATAGCAAGTATAGGCTGAAGAAGTTAAAATTGGACCAAAAAGTTTACCTTTTTTGGTGGAGAGCGTTGAACGGTTCTTTACCAACGAAGGAGTGGTTATGTTATAGAAGATTGGCTAATACCACTGATTGTCCGAGAGGATGTCATGTGAATGAAGACACATAACACATTATCATCAAATGCAGCATGCTTAAGGTCATATTACAGAAACTGAGAAGCAGTGGTTTCAATGTCCCTTCATTTCAAAATCTGGACGAATGTACTTTGGCACTAAAATAGAGAGGTGATAAGGGACTTATTAAGATCTAAGCTTTGGCAGTTTACTAAAGTTGGAGATCAAGGAATATGGTCAAGCATGGTAATTCTAAAATTTCTATTTCTTACGCTGTTGCAGAAATTATTTCCCATGTTTCTCACCTTTAGTCAAATCCAATTGAAAAGAACTGGAACACCAACCAGCCGATGCTGTCCAATTCTTGGTGTCCCCCTCCCCACGGTTGGATTAAACTGAACGTTGATGCAGCTCTATCTGTTAATAACATGGCGGGTATAGCAGGTGTTCTAAGAGATTGCAAAGGTAGATTGTTATGTGCTTATGGTAGAAAGTTAATTCATTGGGACATTGCATATTTGGAACTCAAAGCTATTCTTTCATTTGGAAACTACATTCAAAATTGGTTTTGTGAATACAATGGAATAATCATTAAAGGTGACAAAGTGAATATCATGAAGTTGCTCCCAGATACAATCAACATGAAGACAAACAAAGGTACTAAGCCGGACCTTTCTTTCTTAGAAGTTTTCAACAATGTAATTTTCCTTTTTGCTCATAGAAATTGTAATAAGACGGCTGATTTTTGTGCCAAGTTTGCTTTGTTAGGGAATTTTTTTTGGGATTCTTTTATAGAAACATACCTTCCTACAAATTTTTTATACTTGTTTAGGAAGGACTGCCCTTTGTAAGTTCTTTCTTTCCATCATGAATGCATAGTGCATCTTCTATTAAAAAAAAAAGAGAGTGTATGATTGTAATTGGATAACCATGCACACACACACTAGGGGAGTGACTCAAAACTTTATTAAAAAAAAAACTAATCATATTATACAATTTTTAAATCATATTGGACAATTTGTCATGATAGTTCCTCTAGAAAAAACTTAAGTAAATCATGCCCATGAAAATTTTGTATTGCTAGTATTATATGATAATGTTTTTGTATAGATGACTCATAGAGTATGAAATGGGTACGTACCAATTCATCCTGAAAAAACTCATCATTTTTAAACTAATTGTACTCTATGAAGTGGGATTTATATAGATGACTCCTAGAGTACGAAATGGGTGCATCCACATTCATACCAAATAAAGCATGGTTTGTTTAAATTATTTATATTGTAAAATATTATGTTCGTACAGAAGAATCACATTGTATGAATTGGGTTCTTATAGAATCGTATTGAACTAATTTGTTCTGTTTTAAATTATTCATACTATACAATATCAGTTCATACAAATGACTGATATAATATAAAATCAGGTTTGTACATGATATTTTAAACATTTTGTACATATGAAGTACGATCATATTATACGATTTGAAGATATTCAACTTGAAATTTTTAGTTTTCTAGATGATTTTTCTTATCTTTCATATATAAGGGTCCTAAAAATTGTCACCACTAATCTTCTAGAGTTATTGCTGTGAATTTCTTTCAAGAGTGAAAAGGAGAGTGTTTGGGAGGTGTTTTAGGAGTAAAGATTGAGAGATCTTTTTTTGAGGAATTTGTGAGGGGATTCACAAGGTTAATCAAAGATAAGGATCTCTTATTTATTCTTCAAGTTTCTCCCTACTTCCTTGAAAACTTTTGAGAGAAGACTTTCAAAGAAGATCAGGGTACTCTTCCATCATTAGGAGGGTAAAAAAGGATGTTGATACTATACCATTATCAAGAGGGTGAGAAAGGATGTTGGTTCTCTACCGTCACCAGGAGGGTGAGAAAGGATGTTGGTACTTTGCCATCACCAGGAGGGTGAGAAAGGACATCAGTACTCTACCACATTGAGTTGGTGAAAGAGAGGTTGTTATAAGGGCTTCTCCATCATGATGTGGGAGCTAAAGGAGAGTCACTTTGATTTAGTGAAATACATGAAAAAGGATTTTTTAGGGAGGGGACGTAGGTCTAGGTTTATCAAACCACTATGAAATTTGGTGTTCATCTATTCTTTACTTTTTACTGAATTTTAATTTTCTGCACTTTTATTTTAGTGTGATAAAAAAATATTTTCTAAGAATCTATCATTATGTCAAATATATTAAAATCTATTTTCAAAATTTCCATGAGAATTTTTAAATTACAAATTCACCCCCCCCCCCCTCCCTCTTGGTTAACTTTGGGACAGTTCTATTAGGTCGAAAAATCTACTCAAACTTTCAGTTGACTTGGTTAAATTGACCAAGCTACATCCTAGGACCACTTCCTTTGGTTTAGTGAGTTAAACGAGGTTTCCAAAGCCCAGACCTAGGTCATGGGTCAACCTGGTTGACCAAGTCAACCTAGGATGACCAAACTAGCCCAAATCACACTTATTTAGGTTTCAATCAATTTCAAATTCTCCCTTTCTCAAACCCTAATCAATTTGGACCTGATTGACCATGTTGACATAGTCAACACTTGGCTTAGTTAAGCCAAGCCTAATTTGGTCAAATTTTACCTATTTATGTCAAATTTATGGCGCCTTTAGCTTTTAAACCCATCCAAGCCTCCCCTTGACCCAAAATATAGCCAAGGGAGCTTAGACCCTCTTAATTAACCCTAGGATCCATCTTGGCCATCCATCATAGGGATTAGACTATAATTAGAATCTTAGGGCATTATTAGAGGGGGCATTGCAAACTATTCTTTCCCAAGACTCCCCAAGCCCAAGACTTCTTTGGTGTGAGCTCTCCAAAACTCCATCCACCTTTCCCCACTCAAATCCACCATTGAGACCCCACCACGGTGATCTTGTGGTGACTCAAAGCCTTAATCCTTCCAAGCAAGTTTTTCGTTGATCCATATCTTTTCAAAATGCGTCTTCTTTTACAAAAAGGAGCATGGATAATCTACAAGTGCAACAAGTCCAAAATCTCCTGATTCCAACATTTGGATTAGGTGGAAATGCTCATGTAGCATTGAAAAGGGAGCAAAAAAAATAAATCATATATAATTGCTATAGGGTGCTTCAGCTGCTTAGCCTCCAAATAAATAAGAACATGATCAAGTGAGGCTGATATGAGTACATTTATTTTTGTATATAACTGCTAGGAATGTTTTATTTTAATTGCTTAGAATAACCCTCCAAGAGAGTCTAGATTTTTCTTTTTGTAATTTGGATGTAATGTATTTGAATTAAAGAGTTATAAATGTTTATTAAAAAGAGGTATTTTAATAAAATATCAGGTATCCAAAGAGAAAAGAAAGTCCCTTTACAGGGAATTTCTTTTCATTTGGGTATCCTATGGAGGATGAACCATAAGAAGACTGAAGGAAGGTGACCCATAGAAGGACCAAAAGATAATGATCAATATTAAAAATACCCCA